TTAAGAATGCATTCGCTTCATTCGTCCCTAAGAAAATCGCAAATATGATGGGCGTGTTAGGTGCATTCGGTGTTAGCGCTTTATTGCATGAATATCTAATCATTGGTCAACTTGATATTTGGACAGGTGAACACCTCTTTTTCTTTATGATTCACGGTGTTATTTTCATCTTGTGGGAGGCTATTTTCGGTCGTGAAAATCAAAATGAGATTTCTAAAATCAAAAGGATTTTAAAATGGTTCTTATTGTTGATTATTTATTTGTCTGTTTTACCAGCATTCATTGAACCTTCTGGAAGACGACCTGATATATGTGAAATTCCTTCATTTTTTGCTAAATATTATAAACTAAATTAACAATGATTTCGAGAGGTATTTTAAATTATAAAAAATTATTGTTATAATTAACTATAATTTAGCATAATAGAAATTATAAATAGAAATTAGATATATAAATATAGAAATATAGAATAATTCATCATACGTCAAAATGTTCATAAATGTCATAGATCATTCATCATTTCACAAGCAATTTAAATAAAATTTATGCATGTAATTCATTTATATTATTAGATATAATAAACAAATTTAAAATACAATATAAAATTTAATTTCAACTTTTTCCTCAAAATTCATAATAAAAAATAAATTATTAAAATTCAAAGACTGTGTTAAATTTATTTGCTAAATAATTATCATGGAGAATCCTAAGAAGCTCTTATTCTTTAATAAATCCTTAAAAAAAAATAATAACACACATATAAGTGATCGAATTCAAGAATAATTTTGTGAAGCGTTGAGCTTTTGTTTCCTTTATAAAACATACATACTTTTTTTCTGGTATCTCGCCAATATTTTTCGAATTGTCTTCGTGGAATTATTTTTTTTTTTAAAAAAAAAAAAAATTCGATTGTGTGTATGATTAGAAATTCTCTTTAAATTATTTAAATTATTGAATTTTAAATTTTAAAATTAATCACAATATCCCACAAGTATTTATTTAAAATAACTTTTTTAATTTATTTTTCAACATTTTTAATTTAAATTTGAGATAAATTATTTTATTAAAGAAAAGCTTAAAAGTTTCATCTGTATATGAAAAATAACACCTTTTATTATATGTTAAAGAAAGGAAACCTATTATTCATGAAGTTTCTAATCAACTAAAGATTAATCTGAAAAATCATTTTTTTAATTATCATCACATAAATTAATATATTTATTGGATTTAAATAAGTTGAATTATCACCAAAGTTCTGAAAATAACATTACATAAGTTGTAGTTTGCTTCCTCTTGTCGCGTTCTTATTGACTTACAGTAGGTATAAATTTTTAGTTGACCTTTTTTCATCAATTTAGAATCAGAAGAAAACCTAAAGATAATTCAATCAGTTCAAGTGTACGACATTAAGCTTTATATATTTTTGAACTTTTGCAAATAAACCTTTCTTTTTTTTTAAAAACCATTTTGTAAATAAATAACTTGTCGCTTAATAATATTATTGTTATTGTACAGAGAAATCTCCGAAGAGAATAATAATTTAAATGAGAATGAAGAGGTTAACTTGTACATGTATCTCACTGGCAAGTAAGGTTGAGGGGCGTAGTCCTAATCCCATTTTGTCAAAAGTAGAACCTTTCGGTTTCGACGGAATTTCGATTTCGATGCCTGTCGAACTTCCGGGTTTTGCTCGAAACCTGACAAAGATGATGCTGAAGTGGAAATATTATTTAATCTCTGCGAAACAATGACCCATAAGCTTGTATACTTGAAGGGCTATTTAAAAGTTTGTACCAATGATTTTATCTGTGCTGTCTTACATTCAATAATTTCTAATACTTAATCTTGTTATTTTCTTAGCTGCTTCATATATCAAAATCACTTTAGACCATCTAATTACTACCAGTAATTTTCAATTAATTCAATTTTATTAGAATCGATTCCATTCCTTAGGCTATGTCAAAGTCTTCTTCTGCTTGCCTTAAGAAGTTTTGAAAAATAATTGCTTGAATTGTTGTAGCTGTAAATATATCGATTGATCACGGCAATTTGGATACGTAGTAAACAAGAACTAAAAGTGACAAAGACAAAATAATTTTGAGTTGCATAAGACGCGCTTCAAATGGTTATGGAATTTGTTTTTTAAAGCTTCAACAGAAGTTTGTTGAAAAATTGTCTCCATCAACTTTCTTATTATCGTGCTGTTATACTACAGGACAGGAAGTTTATTTTAGAAAAATAATTTTGCTAAGTAAGATCAATTTTGCCTATTTGTCCTC